CCCCAAAACCCCAAAACCCCAAAACCCCAAAACCCCATGATATGTAAGATCCTTTGAAATTATATAATTTTAACTTATGTCTTCGCAACGTAAAACTCTCAGTTTCAACCGTAAAACTATGACCAAAGCATGGCAAGGAGGCAACCGTCAAGACTTTGTCATCATGAAGCGTATCAAAAATCAACAAGTCATCAAGTTCAATCGTGAAAGTCGTGATGCCGCTACTTTCAACAATATCGCTTACATCCTTGAGAATGAACTGCATCTCAAATAGCTACAAGAAACTCAAGCTGGTTTTCGACTTCTTTGCAGCTTTCAACGTGTTCCAGAAACTGAAGAGGGACTCAGGTCATCAACTCAAGCATCAAGGTAGGCCATGTCTGACCAGTAGACGAGTACTCGTACATCGAGAAGAGCAACTTCTACCGCAGCCTTTAAACTCAAGAGATATGACAAAGGAGACATCATCTTCGACTACGGTGACGAAGCTGACTACTTCTACATGATCCTCAAAGGCAGAGTCAGCATCAGCATGCCAACCACAGTCAAGAAGAACTTTACTCATTCAGAACTCATGAAGTTTATCAGTGACAACCAGAACGAGTAAGTAGCCACATTTCATTTCTGGCCAATGCAAGTTCAGATTTGTATGATGCAACTGTGTTTGTACTCTGACTCGATACTTTTAGAGTGGTTCCAGAGTCAATCGAAAAATCTGACTCTAAAGACGCCATCAACCTTGTACTTGTTGCTTCATCATTTAGTCGAAGGGTTCAGCTGACAGTCCAACCAGCAAACTGTCCAGCCACAACAAGTCCACAGTGGCTCCGTTTACGTTCAAAAAGAAGCAGTACAGGCTTGATGAGAAGTCCCTCAAAGAGTTCAAAAGTATGCTCGACTCTCCAACTCACTCGAGCAGCAGAAGGTATGCACTTAGTAACTCTTCAGGCCTGTGTTCAGCAAGCCTCCGAAAGCGCCCAAAGCAGAAGTAACTTGCTCTGACATGTTTAGGACAAGAAAGTGCACGAACTCAGAGTCTTCGCACAAAACGCCATTCTCGGAGAAGGCACTTCGTTCGGTGAAGCTGCTCTCGGAATCAACACCGGTGTCACCAATGAAAACAAGCACTACAAAGTTGGTCCTTCCAAAGTACGCATATTCAGAAATGCTAGAGTAGTTGCACTGACACACTTGCAATGAGCAGTCATTTCGAGAGCCAGTTTCCAAGAAATCAGAGTTAAAGAGCCTGACTTCGGTGAAGACGCACTGCTTGAGTGTCAACACATTCTCACAAACAACGGACTGCCTCATCGATTGCTGTACTTGACTGCAAAGCCAGAACTAGTTGAGCTTCGCATCAACAACTACTTGTTGCACCAGAATGATGAAGTCAAAGGCATTTTCTTGATAAAGCAAGGCGAGCTTGAACGCAGGAGTCTCCACAAAACCAGTTCGAACTCTGAACTCAATCACACATTTGGAGGCTCGTCTGTAAGTCCTGACAAGAACAGTCACAGAAGGACTCACACAGAAGGGTTCTTGTCGTTCCAGAGCAGTGTCAAAGCCAACCAGAGCTTGCATCATAATGAGAACCGCTTGATCATGGGAAAACATGTTGTCATTGGCTTGGACGAACTTGAATGTAACAAACAAACATTCGAGTACTCAATTAAGACTGTTTCAGCATATGCAAAAGTGTTCTTTGTACCGAAGACTTCGATCAGGATACACCTCCGTGTCAAGAAGGCTCCTGACCAACTCAACTCTGAAGCTGAACAAGGTATGCTCTATTGCAGCTTTAGATATTAAGAAATCGAAAGCACCCATGAAAATAGCCAAGAATATTGTCAAGAAAATGAAGAAGGTTCTAAGACCAAGAAAGCCTCACAACAAAACCATGAGCAAGGGTGAGTCTTGGTCATCATGTGTTTCAACTTTGGTGTAGACAACAGCGACCATATGATTTCACAAATGTACAAGCTGACTGACCATTGCACCAAAGTTGACAACACAAGACTCAGTCGCTCCATTCGCAAATAAGCTGATGGCAAGGTTCCACAGTATGGTGAGTGACTGATGGTTACATTGTGTTTAGAGCACACTGAGTTCAAATCTTAAGACTGCCACTGAGCCTTTAGCAGAGTCTAAGAACAAGTCTCACAGCATGTTGAAGAAGCAAGTCCATAGTATCACACGAATCAAGGGAGCTCTGAGTAAGTGTAATGGCTTCAGGGTATAGGCAAAGACTCAAAGTTCCACTTCAAACCAATGGCTCCTCATGTGGTAAAGCGGGCTTTGAAGAAACAGGCCTATTTCGGGTTTAACCTGCTCAAAAACAAGTAGTGTTGTTGATATCTTGTTATATTGATGCAGGTGTGCGCATTCTATATTTGCGATATCGTAGGGGTTTTGGGGTTTTGGGGTTTTGGGGTTTTGGGG